TTTAGTGCATCTAGCGGGCCAGCGCAACGCAGATCTATCTGACAGGGAATCATGCTCAATGAGTTAGGATGCGAGTGCCTGCGTCAGCATTCCAATGGGGACACGAGCTGCAGCCGAAAGATGACACTCCTGCATTTCGTTTCACGAGTGCGAAATCGAGAACTGCAAGGCCGTTGTAGAGCGCAGCTCTTTGGCGCTCGTTCCCGTATTTCGCGGCGTCGCCGTCGACGTAACCGCGCTGAATTTAGCGGGGAATTCAATCGGTGTTGAGGTCACGTGACGTCAATTTTCCCGCTAAATATAGCGGAGAAACTCCGCTATATTTAAAAAACTGAATTTGTTTGTAGGTGACATGACACGTAAATCATGTTACGTAATATTCCCCGCTAAATTGAGCGGGGAAACGGAATTGGTGTTGAGGTCACGTGGCGTTAATATTTCAGCTAAATTTCGCGGGAAAACAGTGAGAGGAGGAGAGGTTATCAAGCGGAGGACAAGGAGGGAAGGGGAGGGTACGGAGGACCCTCCTCTCCCCTCCTCCTCCCCTCGTCGTCCTCCCTTTCTCCCGTCCCCTACTCCACCCCTCCTCGTCCTCTTCCGCCTCCATGCCCTCCCCGTCCTCTGCACTCTCCCCTCCTCCTCCTGCATACCATCTGTGACGATCGTACTACATCGTGCGTCGGGCTCAAGACCCGTAAGAAACGGTTCACATGTTAGACACGTTCGGGAGTCGAAAAGCGCTCGAGCCACTCTCGTCTTTACCTTTAATTCTGCTCCTGCAGTATTTTGCCGCCTGGTATCGCTACAGCTAACCAGGCGGCAAAAAAGATTACATTTTTTTTTGTAAAAAAAGAAAAAAAAAACTATAACAGACCACGTGCGCACACGTCAACTGGGGGAGTACCAACGGCGGGCTCGTCGTGGTCTGGAACTCCTCCGTAATATCGTGACGGCGGCCGGGGTTCCTGGGATGGACTGGGAAACGCCGGCCGCAAAACTCGTTAACACCGATGGGTCGTTGGGAGGCGCAGTGGAAGCTGAGAGACTGGGCGAGGATGGGGTGTCCACGCTACGGTTGCCACTTGGAAATCCGGGCGTCAGTGTCCTGCTGTCGCGGTTCGGCTATCACAGGCCGCGGGACTGAAGTGCCGTCCATGGGCGCCGCTGAGGTCTCGTTGCGAGGCCTAGGGTGGTCCCCATTCCGATGACACATGGTCCCATTTGGCAGGCGCACGTTCAGGGACGGGGCGCCTACCGCAGAGGCTACATGTCCGGCAGTCCAAGGAGCACCCGGTCGGAAGCTCCTGGCATACACCGGTGCTCCAACTTTCGACAAAGGGCCGGGACGACAGTCACGGTCGGCGTAAAGCTTTTGCTTGAGCCGCTTCAGCAGTGATGTGGACCGCAGGTTGGGACGCATAACGTGCAACGGTGTCTTCATCATGCGGCCCATAAGCAGCTCACATGGGGCACGGCCAGTGCATTCATGTGGCGTGGTTTGGTAGTGAAACAGAACTCGGGCCACTTGCATGCAGAAATCCCCGTCTTGTCACTTCTTGAGCTTAGTCGGCAGTTCGTGCCACCCCTTCCGCGGCTCCATTGGAAGCGGGATGGTACGGAGGGACCATCATCCCATTGATTCCGTTCCTGGTCAGAAACTCCAGGTACTCGACACTGGCAAAAGCTGGGCCATTTCCCGAGACTATCAAGCCTGGGAATCCCTGGGTGGCGAAGACCCGTCGCAATGCAGAGATCGTCGCCGCTGCGGATGCGGTGGTGCCGGTGGGTACTTCCACCCACTTCGAGTAGGCGTCAGTGACTACTAGAAAGTATCGTCCTTTGAAAGGTCTATCGAAGTCTACATGCAGGCATGCAGGACCATGGCCTCTCAGGAAAAGGCCACTGGGTGATCTCGGTGCGTCGGGGTGCTCGCTGGTGTTCCTGACAGACGTGGCGTCGCTGCGCGTGATGAGCAATGTCTTAGATGAAACCAGGAGCACCAGACATGAGACCCGGTCACCATCTTCATTTTCTACACCCCTGGATGGCCTGAATGTTGCCGTTGAAGAACCTGTGGACGTAGGACCTGAGGTATCACTACCCTGGATCCCCAGAGTAAACAGCTTTCCTGCAGGCTCAGTTCAGCCCTTTTGTGGGTAAAGGGGCTGTACTCCTGCAATTGGGAAAAGGCCTGACCTTTTCCGACGACTCTAACGACTTCGGACAGAACCTTGTCTCTTTTGGTCGCTTGGGCCAGTGGTTTCTGGAGAGTACACCTGGATGAGTTTGCTAAGCAAGAAGATGTCTGCTGGCACCTGCTCACTTGCTGAAACCACTAGTAGCGGAAGCCTACCGAGGGCATCCGCATTTCCGAGAGTCTTCCCTGGCCGATGGACCAGCTGGTAAGTTTATGCCGCCAGTTTCAAAGACCAGCGGACGATCCGTGGTGACGCTTGAACAGGGACCGCCTTGCTAGAACCCGAAAGTCCTAACAATGGCTTGTGGTCAGTGATTGGCTCAAACTCTCTTCCCCACAGGTATTGATAAAACAGCTGCACGCCGTAGACCAAAGCCAGGGCTTCTTCGTCTAGCTGGCTGTAATTCTGCTCAGCGGAATGCAGCCGGCGTGAAGCGCACGCTACAAGGTGTTCAAGTTCATCGCTGTCTCGATGCGAGAATACGATCCTAATGTCGTATCGGGAGGCATCGACCGCGAGGACCACAGGTTTGGCCGGATCAAAATAGACCAGCACAAAAGCCTGTGTCAGCAGAGACTTGCTCAGGCGAAACGCATAGTCTTGTTGCTTTTCTCAGGTCCACTTTTCGACCCCTCGTAGGCCGTCCTTCGTGATGACGTGGCCTAGGTGCTCCGTCCTGGGAGCGATGAGAACACATTTTTCAACCTTGAGCTTCAGGCCTTCTTCTTGAAGCTTGATCAGGGCCCGGTGGAGATTCTGGATGAGGTCCTGGTCGTTGACCCCAGTACCAGGATATCATCCAAATACACTGCCACGTGCATTGATTCCCGGAAGTGGTTGTCCATATCTCGCTGGAAGAGAGCTGGGGCTGAGGCTACGCCAAAAGACAGACGCGTGTACTGAAAAAGTCCCATCGGCGTGGAAATGACAACATATTTGTGGGAGTCATTGTCCAGAACCACCTGCTGATATGCGTCTCTGAGGTCCACTTCGGAAAACTTTTCTTCACCGGAGAGTGACGTCCGCAATTCCTCAATGGGGGGTAGGGGGTACTGCTCAGGTTCTGCCACTGGGTTGATGGTGACTTCAAAATCTCCGCAGATCTGACACTTCCATCTTCTTTTAGCATCTGTACGATGGGTGCAGTCCGTGCAGAGGTCTTTACCGGTGTTAGGATGCCCTCTCGCTGCAGGCGCTGCAGCTCTTGTGTCACCTTATTTTTGAGTGTGAAGGGAAGGGGCCTCGGCTTGAAAAATGCGAGACGGGCATCAACCGGAACGTGCAGTCTTGCTGTCGTCATCAGAAAGGTGCCCACACCTGGCTTAAAACGCGTCTCGAAGTCGTGCATCAGCCTTGGCACAATGGTCAGTGCAGACACAGCAGCCTCCGTGGACTGCGACAGCTTAATTCTCAGAGCCTGGATCCAGGCTTGGCCAAGCAGCGTGGGTGACGACCCCCTTGTTACAAAAAGGGGCAGGCATGCATCCTTGTTGCCAAAACAGGCGCTGACATCGGCCATGCCTTGAGCAGGGGAAAGCTGGCCTGATTAACTGCGCAGCATGACGTCCGAGGACTGGACTGACACGGACGGGGAGGTTTTCTTGAAAAACTTCCTTGGAATGACCAAAACGCTGGCCCCTGTATCCTGTTCCATGTACAGGGGCTGGCCACAAACTTCGAGGGTGACCAGGAAAGGCAAGACCGACTGGCTGGTGGGGCCAGGCACCTTATGCAAAAAATCTGGGTGTCTCCGGTGACGATGTGAAGTTGAGCTGTATCGGTGCCAGGCGTTTTTTTTTCCGTATGTCGACCCCGCTGTGGCTGTGCGCCGGTCCGACGGCGGTTGCCTCGGCCGCGAGCTGGGGCCGCCCCTTCAACGTGCGTCGGACCGCTGGACTGCCGCTTCTTCGCCCTACATACACCGGCAAGGTGCCCTTGCTTACTACAAAAGTGGCACGACGCTAGTTTGAACGGGCAGAGGTGCGGCTGGTGCGCGTCGCCGCAGCAAGGGCAGGAACCATGGCCGCCTCCAACGCCAACGCTGCTTTTACGGCGTCGTCAGAAAAAGGGTCCGACAGTTCAAGAGACCTCGTTTGCATGGCGGTGTCGTTGATACCACCAGTGTGACGATCGTACAACGTCGTCTGTCGGGCTCAAGACCCGGAAAAAACGGTACACACGTTAGACACGTTCGGGAGTGGAAAGGCGCTCAAGCCACGCTTGTCGATATCTTTTATTACTCTGCTCGTGCAGTCTTCTGCCGCCTGGTGTCGCTACGGCTTGTGACATCATCTCGTCCCGTTATACCGCAAAATCAAAATACCTCAAGAGCTGTGCTCTAATTTCGCACTACAGAGATTTATAAACGTGTTTCATTTTTTTACGCTACGGATTGTAAAAGATACAGGGTGTTTTCTAAGGTTGAGTAGGCAGCTCCAACGCCGGTAAAACAGTTAGGAAGGCATCACGGTGAGGCAGATGCTGTCATAATTATAAAATTCCTAATTAGATTTTTCATGCATCAGTGGCATGCGAAGAGTCGGCTTCTCACAACCAGTGGCCTCCACAGGTTTACTTGCCGAGTGGAAAGGTAAAGACATTCTTAAAAATCTACAGATATGCGTAGATCGCTCCATGTATTAGACCTTTATTCCAGGGGTGAAATCACGCCGAAACTAATTTAGGAATTAGTATACCACCCAAATATTGTGAGTTCTTAGAAGACATTCAGAATATTTTAATTTCTCGCACGCAGGATCGAATTCAGCGTTATTTCAAGAGCGAGACGCAGACCTGCGAGTGATGAAAACAGTGGCGGCAACGGCAGAGCCCACCGGACGGGCATCGGGAACCCGGGACGAGCATCAGCCGATGGCTCTCTCTGACCAGCGTGCACTGCTCGCCTCCGATAATGAGGCAACCCCGAAGAGCTGCGGCTGGGGCCGCGTCGAGCCGGAGTGCCTACAGAGCCTGCGCACACCACCCTGGGCCCTGGCCGCCTTCTGCTCGGCCGGCTTCCTTCAGGGACTGGCCATCAACGGCTACATTCCTGTCGTGCTGCCCACCATCGAGAGGCGCTTTCAGATGCGCAGCATCCAGGCCGGCAGCATCGTCAGCATGTACAACGTGGGCTCGCTCTTATGCAGCACTCCTGTGGCTTACTTCGGAAACAGGCAGCACAAGCCCAGGTACATGGCCATCGGGACCATCGTCATGGCCACTGGCTCTCTCATCTTCGCCATACCCCACTTCTTGGTGCCGCCATACCAGAGCTCTGACATCAAGGACATTTGTCCTAACTTACTAAAGTCAGACGAATTCTGCGCCACGTCACCCACAAACTTGCCAGAGTACCGTTACTTCTTCATGCTTGGCAATTTTTTGCACGGCTGTGGTACGTCGCCTTTCTACACACTGGGCATCGCTTACCTGGATGACAACGTGCCTACCAAGACGTCGCCTGTTTATCTGGGTACAAGTCACTTTTGCTTTGACTTTAGTTTTGCTTTGTTCCGCACCACTTTAGCTTGCGAGGTTCGCTGAAAAGTTGTTAAAGATCAGCCCATTAATTTCATTGTCCTCTATTCCAGGCATTTATTTCGCCATGGCTCTCTTGGGGCCAGCTGTGGGCTTCCTTTCCGGGGGCTATTTTTTAACCCTTTACACCGACATCGCCAAAGACCCTAAGGAGTAAGCGCTGAAATTTAGAAAGCCTTCAGACAGCTCAGATGATACGCGCGTGTTTGGGTAGGACCATTATGATAAATCTTTGTTTTTCTGTTTTCAGGGTCAAGTTGAACCGATTTAGCAAAGTCTGGGTTGGTGCCTGGTGGATGGGGTTTCTAGTGGCCGCAGCCCTTGCATTCCTAGCCGCCATTCCAATTTTCGCACTTCCAAAAGAGCTTCCTGGTACGTTGTACAATCCACGAGTCTCCTCAGAGCACACTTACTGGTGTTTATTTGTTAGGACCAAAAAGGACCCATAGGGCTATGTATACAAAAAAAAAAAAAAAAAACTTGGCCAATCGGTGATTTTTTAATGTCGACATGCAATGGAGAACGCAGACTTCCGCGCGGACGCAGTGCCATGCTGGAGTAAATTTTTCCTATTATTTCATTTTGGATCGGGTACATTCAAATACGAATAAGCCATTCAATTCCTCGAGTTTTTTGCAATCGGAAGTAATAGGCTCTGCATGGGTACAAAATTTAAAATTAATTAGGCTTCTTGTCATGGCGCTTCCTTAAACACTACGGTGATTTCTTTAGCTGCCCCAAGTAACTATATTATTTTTAATCCCCGGCCTTTATCATTTAGAGTATGCTATTTAGTATCGCGAAATTCAGGATAGTCTTTATAAAATCGGCAAAAGAAAATGAGGCCAAAATCAACATTCAAATATACCCGCACTTTTCAGTGCCGTCACGTCAAGTGGCACGAAGGCTTGCCAGTCGAGCAGGCAGTCTAAAGAATGGAGTGTGCCGAGCATTTGTTTTGTGCTTATGCGCGGGTGCTGGAGCGAGCTTCCAGAGCAATAATTTGACACCATAAAACCGCTTGTAATCAGCTGGAAACGAACCCTATAGTCCAACGAGTGAACCACCGCCTGCCGCTGGCGTCACTTTTTCATTGTTGCCAGTAGCTACTTTCAGTTTGAAAAACACGATGAGGACCAAAATTGTAAATTCGCTAACTTCGCGATTTTTTTTTTTTTTTTTAAGTTTTGGTTTTATATTTGGGGTACTATTACAACTGTTGGAAAATTTCTGAGCCTGTCCGTGTGGAAGCCACAGGCGATGAGGTTAGTGATTTTGAGCGCTCGTGTGGTAACCCGCGTGGTTCCGTGTCCGGGAGCAACGACGGTAGTGTTGAAGTCATGGAGAATAGAAGGGTAGGAGAGAGCATGACGTCGGCCGCGTAGCCTCCACAAGCCATGCTCCCTTGACGCCTCGCCTCTTTCTCATTTTCCTCCTTACTCTCCTCACTTACCATTCCAACGTGATCACATCACGTGACCGTAGCTAGACTTCGTCTTGCTGTGGGGTACTAGAATACACCACAGTCTAGACTTCAACGTGATAAAACCTACCGGACGGAGCGCGCCCAAGCCTGCAAGGAGTCCTTCTATACAATCAACCATCCATCTCACACGTGACATATCACGCGCACCAATCGCCAGAGAGATCTGCGGTCACGCTGGGCACAAAATCGTTTAAACTTTTTATGACTAGGCTTCACCAATATCGCAACGTGCCCCCTCCTAGTACTTCTAACCTCCTTGGTTGAAGTGGTGACCGGGCAAGACTTGGCGTCCACGCTCCCTGGTGAGGGAGAACCAGTATGTTCTCTAGCGGCCGCAGTGAGTTCTTTTGAGAGCTTCGGGGAAGCCAGAACCAGCTTTGTTGCAAATGCTGGAGACGCCGAATGTTCGGGTAACGTAAAAGGGCGCCAAACTTTTGCCTTTTTCTCTCTACGCACTGATAGTCGCAGGAAACAAATTTAAAAAGAAAACGAGCAGCGTTCACTTCCGTAACTCGCGCTCAGAACAAGGGGTCCCCGTGATCTGGAGTATGCCGCCAATGCTTATCATAGCAACACGCTGGGGTTGGCAAAGCACAAGGTGGAAAGAGCCAGCGAAGGCACAGGAACGTCTTGCTGGCGGGGAGAGGAACCATGCGAGTCGGGCGCCATCCGGTCGCGAGTGGCTATCATCATCATCATTGTCCAGCCTTGCTATGTTTCCTAGCGCTCATCTATTTTAAATAATAAGTCAGCTCTATAAAAAGCATGCCTGGATAGCCGGATGTTAGCCTATAATCTCGCAACTGGACGGCGCTCGGCTCGCGTGTTTCCTCTTTCCGCCAGCAGGACGCGCGCGCGTAGCTCGAGACAGCACGCTCCTTTGGCTTCGTTGACTCTTTCTACCACTCGCCACATTACGGACATTGTTAGGGTTCAGCAATTTTCGTCCTTGCCGCGACCGGAGACGAGTTGTTACCCGAATGCTTTTGAGCCATCGATGGTCACGAGGTCAAAGGGAGTGCCAAAGCAATGCTCGAGTCTAATTTATGAGGCGCATTAAATATCCTCTCATGGGGGACTATACCAACACTGCGATCCACATGCTACGTCATTAAGTTTAACGAATTTGAAACCGAGAAGAGACGCTCGCTTTTATCCTTGAAATTGCACCGCAACGAAGACGTTTCTTGGACAGTGGCGTTGCGTGCGAGCATACATGTGTCCCACTAGTCGTAATAAGCTCGTGTAGAGTGAAAAAAGACATTTCAACTTAATATCGTTGCACTGCCCCTTTGATTCGATCTGGTAATATCTTCTGAAATTGGACTATAAAAAAATGCGGCGAAGTTTCGCTTTAAGCCCTCCATTTGCCAATCGATGGAGATTTTAAAGGAAACTACACTGCCTTCTCAGAATAATGACCGTGCTTTCCGACAACTCCACCTAAACCCCTACGCAGACATGTGAGCTGTATAGTATTTTGTCTACGTGATCTTGTAAATTACCGTTGTTTTTAACGTAATAGTAAAAAACTTTTCCGCCAAGTTTTTTTTTTTTTTTTTTTTTTTATAAAACATAAAACACTAGTATTTATTAGTAGTCAATTATCGAAGATAGCTTCTACAGTTTATTCACAAAACACTGCAATACATACTTTGTGTTTTAGAATGTCTTTATGCGCCATTTTCACGAAGATCCACCACGCCCCAACTAACGCCATTCACGGCCGGACTGGAAGCGCGCGCTCACTTTCTTTTCTTACGGCCTTTGCAATCGCCCGGAAGTCAAAGGTATTTTTTCTACGTACGTAGTTGACTTGTTTACCGCCAGGGGCGCAACCACCTCACCCCACTTCACCCCACTCAGAGAGTCCCTTCGAGCTGCCTTGCGCTGGTGTTCGAGTTTCGTAGGTTGTTGTTTTGGCAACGGTTCCTCAGAATACTTCTGATTAACCATGCAAAGACGGTCACGGACATAAACGAAAAATCAGCTGGATGTGTGCACAAGCCCCCGAGGAAGCACTTAAGGCTGTAATATGCACGGTGCGAAAATTGTACGGACTACTACACCCTCGTCTAGAGCAACTGACCGACTTCATTCGCGGCCTATGAAAAGATGATGCAGACCACGGCAATAGATAGATTGGGCCTGCTTACATTTCACGAGAGTGTACGAATTATTTATCATTTAAAGTTCCTCCACGTAGAAGGGGTCTGTCTCCTCCTGTTCTTAAGTTGCTACAGAAGTCCTGGAGGTAAAGACGAGTATAGTTCTTCCGCAATTGCATTCGCTGTCTCGAGTTACTACTTTTTACTCACGAATCTTTCGGAGATGTGCGTCAAATATTCACCGTTTTGGGCTCATCAGAAGCGCATTAGATAGTGGCTGAGGTTCCAAACGTAAGGATCAGGTGTCAAATGCTACAGAAATCTCGGCCGGAAGTTGCGACAGCGCTGAGATGCACTGTCAGACGCGCTTTGTGCAAACGGCAAAGGGTAGCCCAGGGGTGAGGTGACAGCGCCCCCCGCGAATTGCGGTGGGAGGTGGCGATTGTCCCAATTGCAAAGGCCGTAAGAAAAGAAAGAGAGCGCGCGCTTCCAGTCCGGCCGTGGGCCATTACATTTCATATCACGTTAATTTAAGATGACAGTATGTATATGGCACTATAGAACTTCTACACTAAAAGTATAGATTCCAGGTATCACACTAGAAGATAACATAAGAATGCGGGCTGTGTGCTCTCTGTTGACATGCTTTTAAAAATATTTACTTTTTTTTTTTTTTTACTTTTGCTTTAGGCTGAATTAGGTGAGCTCAAAATCTTGAAATATATTGCCGTAGCAAACAATAAATTACACTGTACACATTTTTAAGACTTATTTCAGTTAAAAAAACTTGTCAACAAGAAGGAAAACAATATTGCTGCCACGTGTTTTTTTTTACAGATATAAATGCCACATACGGCAACAGCGTCAGTTTTTGCTTTGACAATATTAAGCTAAGATTGATGTCGAACTGATAAAAAAATGTAATTCTCTTTTCTCTATTTCTTTAGCTAACGCCATGTTCTCAATCCTTCGCGTTCTATCTGCTAGCATCATGTTCGCGCGGAGTTTCAGCTTCCTGAGTTTTGTAGTTTATTTACGCGGGTAAATAAAAACATGGTTCTTTGTTTCGAAGATACCCGGTATATAATAATAGGGAGTGTCTACATCCACGCGCGGGGATGTAGCCATGTCGGGAGGAGATAAGGCTCCATCCACGCACTACGTCACTTCCGGCGCCCGCGTCACTTTTTTGCGTGGACGGAAGCAGTTCTTTTTCCGTCTCCTCTCCGTCCACGCAGCAATCAACCTACGGTCTACCGTCTTGTCTCCCATTGTTTTGCCTTGTGCTTGGTGGCCATTGCTCCTTGCGTTCCTGCCGTGAAAGGGACTGCTGTTCTTGCCTGGTCTTCCCCAATCCCCAAGCGGGTTTACCTGAAGTTTTTTTTTTTTTTTTTTTTTGTTTTTTGGTCAAGAAAACTTTGTGTATTAGCACAGTCGCGCTTCTGATATGCCTCCAGTTTTGGTTGCCGGGGATTCGATGGTGAAATACTTGTCCCAGTATTTCACATCGAATAACCGGGTGGCTGTCGAAGTGCGGGTGTTCAGTAACATTAGGATCAAGGCTTTGCTTCTCGAAGTGTCTCACGCCCTGCTCGATTTTGGCACAAACAACACCAGCGTTTGTGCCTGCGCGTACGTTGACAAGTACCGTCGGCTGGCCGCTCAGATCTTGGAACGCAATCCGACGACGCAGATCGCTTTTTCTTCCGAGTTGGGAGAACAGGTTCTTTTCGTTGGAGTGTCAGCGTAGGCAGAGTGCAGTGATCCAGGCGTAGAATGATCGGCACAAAGAAGTGAACTGGCTCCTGCAGGAGTTCTGCCGCAAGAAGGGCTTCGTGTTCATCGGTGGTCTCGTGGATGAGTGGCATCTGTGCATCGGCTACTGTTTTATTTGTCATGAAATGAACTGTTTCTGGAATCTTTTACCCAGTTTTCTCGATTGAATGCTCTCAATAGGTTTGTTATTACTGAGTCTAATGCATGCTTTCCCTTCTCGCACAATCTTTGGGAGATAGCGAGCGTGCGCGCAAGTCAACAACATACGAAGCGTGTGCTCGCACTTGTCCCCTTCGATGCACATAAGCTCACACTATAACGCCTTAAACGAATTAAGCCAATCACATACACAGCGAAGCCTCGCCGCCTCGCCTCAGCAGCGATGTGCACATGGGCGAAGGCCCCAGAGGCCGCAGCCGCGCCAAGCCAACCAAGCCCACACCACATGGCTGCAGGCTGCACGCCCACACGCACGGATGGCACGCACGCTGCCCACACGTGTGTGTGACTCCTGGACAACATAAATATAAAGACATCTACGGCTACTATTTCTATGACGCATGATATTTCCTATCAGTGTTAGAAAACAGTGAAACATTGATAAATTGTCTAAGAATTTGTAAGGTCACGTGATATATTAACTTTAAAACAACAATAAAATGTAACCTCTTTATTTTTAGATCCTATATTTACTTGTAAGAAAGCATAATATGTAAATAAAAACAAATTATGTCCTTAAATTATAACTCACGTGTCCTTTTGCGTGGATGGAGCCTTATCTCCTCCCGACTTGGCTACGTCCCCGCGCGTGGATGTAGCCTCGGCCATAATAATATGAGAATATACAAACAATCCTACTACTAACCAAATCTTCACAGGCTATCGCAGCGTCCGGGCCATTAAAAAAATTGAAGTTGACAAGAATTTGCAAAGCAAGATCATGGAGGTGAAACACGAACATTTTCTCGGAATAATCGCCATGCTCCTTTCGAACCGTCCATATGTGCTGCTGACCATGGCGGGTACTCTGGAAGGTAAGCGAAACGAAATATTCACAGCTTCTCTCTCATCACTCACTCCAATCATCATCAACCGACATCAATGCCCTTCCGTATGTCCCTTCTAGAGACCTTTTTCACAAGGGCGCCGCCATCTTGAAATATCGTCACTTCGAGTATAGGCGAAAACATTGTTTTGCCGTCGCAACGCCAATAGAATGCATTTATGAGATAAGCGTAACCGTCGCGCATTCTCATTTTCTCTCCCCTCTATTTTTTTACTATTTGCAGGTTGAAACGTTTTAATATTTTTTCGTCGCTCATACCAGATATGCCTACTAGGCAATCGGGGGCGAGAGTAACCGAAAAAGTTTCACATGAGTCGAAATCAGTATAGAATCCTAGCGTGAAAAAAAAAAAGACTGCCTTTTTCGTCCACGATGTGGGAAGAAGTGAAAGCAATAGCTGAATAGCTCGTTCGTGCACTTGCGGACAAAACGGTGTCGTCAAGTGCCTGAGGACGGTACTCGACACCGTATTGCCCGCGCTGTACGAACGTGATACCGCCATCGCTTTTACATGTTTTTACATTGAAGGGAAAATCTCCGCCGTCGCAAGCGAGGGAGCAGGTTTTCAACGCAAACTAAACACTGTGCAGAATGCCCAGGTTTTACTCTTCCCGGCGTGCTATTTGTAATATCTGAATTCAAAATAGCTATTGAGGAAAGGGCAAATGAAAGTTATACCAAAATCAACATTCAAATTTTCCCGCACCCTCCAGTGGGGTGACGTCGCAATTTGTGCAACTTGCAAGTTGAGCAGGCAATCTAAAAAAACAGTGTTTTTCGTGTCTCTTTTTTATTTTCTTGTGTGAGCTTTCCAGCGTTCACTGTAAGCTATCAAACTTCTTGTAGCCTTTAGGAAACATGATGTACTGCCCCCCTGTTACAACATTTGTCATCCCGTTTTCGGTGTTACCAGGAGAGCTTCTAAATTTCACAAACTGAATTTCAAACTTTAATTATTTTGCAAAAACCTTATTGTTACTCTCAATTCCGGTTACTTGTTTAGATGCGTCTATTAATTAATTTGTTGACTCAACTTTCCGGCAAATTGGTGACTATGATAATTTCGCCGGAGATCTCTTTTAGGAACTAAGTTGACAGGACAAGGTTGAAAAAGTAAGGTTAAGATTATCGTTGCCAATGTTAAAGAAAAATTTCGAATTTTCTGAACACACCCCTACCTTAAGTGCAATATTAAAAAGAGAAATGGCTCAATTACAGGACTTGTACACCAATAGGTGATTACCAGCAATTCGGTTATTTCTCATGAAGTGACCTACGCTGGGCGGTAGAGTGGACGCAAAGAAGTCATGGGCGCTTTTTGTGCATTTTGCTCTGACAGGCTGTTGTAGAAGATCAAATTGTGTATTGGTCGGTGTTTAGGAGGTTCAAGCACAGTCGCTGACGGTGTAACAAACAAAGGGTGTAGCTTATTATCTTGACGCTACGTGATTAATTAAGCTAGCCAGTGGACCTGGATGGATGGATGGATGGATGAATGCGGCTGACCCCTTTGGATCGGGCGGTAGCTTATGCCACCTAGCCATTTTGTTTTACCATTTAAGCTTAAAATATTTAAATGTGAAATCTATATTCACTCCGCACTGCAAAGAAAGTAGGGCTATAATCTTTGCTTGGTGATCTCTACAGTCTTGAAATCCACTCTCCCTTCGCTGTCTCTAAAACCCAATGATTTTATTAAATCCATGTTGTCTTCGGTAGGCATAGGGGGAAGCCCTTTACAGTAGAGTATCAAGTGCTCAGACGCCTCGTCCTCCTCTCCACAAGCAGTGCACACTGTATCCATTTCCTGGTATCTCGCTCTGTATGTTCTGGTTCGCAAAACACCCGTCCTCGCCTCAAACAACAATGAGCTTTCCCTAGAATTGTCATAAATGCTTTCTTTGGCAATAACTGTTTTTTTTAATCTATAGCTTTCCAGAGCCGTCTTTGTCTGCTATCCGTCTAGCCACCGATCTCTTTCTGTGGCCTTAACTTTCTTCTTAACTGAGACCTGCTCTTCCGTATCTCCACTATAGCCTAAAAACTTTCCTCTTAATTTCCTAGTGCGCTGTCTCCACTTTGTGTCTATACTCCTCATGTATAAATAGCTGAAGACCTTTCGTGCCCATTGGTCCCCATTCATTTGCCTCAACCGATCCTCAAGTTCTATCTTGCTCACCGCTTCCCTGCTCTCAAAAGACGCCCATCCCATGTCTCCTTGTACTCCCTGGTTTGGCGTTTTGCAATGTGCCCCCAAAGCCAGCCTACCTACTCCGCGCTGTTTTATTTCCAGTCTTGCATGCACTTCGGATTTCATGCATAGCACTGCGTTTCCAAAAGTCAAGGGAGGGACCATGACCACATTTCCAAATCTCTCTCACCACCTCATACCTGTTGTAATTCCAAAGTGCTCTATTTTTCATTACAGCTGCATTTCTGTTGCCCTTACCTATTATATACTTTTCATGCTCATTGAGATATTCTGCACCGTCACATATCCATACTCCTAGATACTTGTATTTATTAACTCTCTCAACTGTAATATTCTGTATTTTCAGCCTCTCAACTTCATCATTGTTAAAAATCATGACTGCTGATTTTTCACTACTGAATTCTAAACCTAATTCCTCTCCTTCCTTACCACAGATGCTCATTAATTCTTGCAACTCTGTCCTGTTGTTAGCCATTAATACAATATCATCCGCATACATCAATCTCGGTAAGGATTGCTGAATGTTTTGGCCTAGCTTACTGTACGAAAGGTCGAATCCAAGCCCACTCTTCTCTAGTCTATCCTCGAATCCCGAATCCTCACAGATACAACATAAACAGCAAAGGCGATAACGGGCACCCCTGCCTAAGGCCTTGTCTTACCTCTACTAACCCTGTCGCCTTTCCTTCCCATGTTATAATCGCCTTAATTATTATCTTTGTAAATGTTCCTTAATAGGGCTGTTAGTCCTTCATCTAGGTTTAAGCTCTCCGCTATGTCCCACAGGTTCCTTTGGTTCACATTGTCATAGGCACCCTTGATACCCAGAAATGCCAGCCAGAGCTCTCTGTTTTGTTTTTGCGCTATTTCTATACACTGTGTTAGAGAAAATATATTGTCCTCCAACCTTCTTTGTTTCCGAAACCCGTTCTGTAACTCGCCCAGTATGCCCTCGCAATCTACCCACTCCTCCAGTCTGTTTTTTATAATCTGCATTACCAACCTGTAAATAACTGGTGTCACGGTTATGGGAGGATAATTCCTAATATCAGACTTATCTCCCTTTTCCTTATATATCATACTCATCCTACTAAGCCTCCATTCATCTGTACTATTTCCTTTTGTTATCATAGTGCTCACTACTTCCCTTAGTTTTGCCTTAGATTTAGGACCCAAATTCTTCACCAGCTTGATTGGGATCCCATCTGTGCCTGTCGACGTGCCACTAGGGACTCTTCGTTCCGCCTTTTCCCAATCTCTTTGTTCAAAATCCGCGATGTCACAAGCTGGACTGCTACTTCCTTCGGTTCTCCTATCTTCCACATGTACCCGTTCCCGAAATTTCTCCTCCATCACTGCTCCTATATATCGTATCGCATCATCTCCCTCTAATTGATCTCCCTGATGCGAGAGTATGAATCATTGTCTAGCTTGCGTCGTTTCACCGAGTGAGTTCAAGCGCTCCCAAAACTTCTTAGCTGCGTTTCTATCTTTCTTGCTTACATTACTCTCGGAAACGCCAGCGCCACCAGTGAGCGTTCCGGGCATTATGAGAACTGTGAGGCTCTGCACCCTCTAGCCAAGCCAAGCATAGCCTAGTCAAGCTTTTGCTCTCCAGGTGGCAGATGCTACCGCTCGAACTGAAGCACCACTCTTGATTCGTTCACGCATTCAGGAGAGCTAATGACCTACAAACGTTGTTAAGACAAGCTGTTTTTTTTTTGTTTTTCTTTTCTTTTTTTTTTTTGAAGGAAATTAAAGTTTCTTAATTAGCTCAACTGATTCCCGTGGCATCATATGAAAACATGCTTGATGCGTGAGTGACACCTCGCTCTTTTGGCGCGTGACCCACGCGCGACGGCCATCCCAAAAAGGAAAGGTGGCACATCCAGAAATACGGCAGTGGACAGACGTGCTGTGACGGGGGTTTAAGTGGGCAAATCAGCGCAGCACAAGGCGCTGCAAAGATTTCCCTCCACCGTACACAGGGACTTAACGCAAACCTAGGCAACGTGATTCGCGTAGACGGTACGGTGGTAGCAGCAGACGACGGAGCATGTGACTTACTGTTCCCAAAAAAAAGCCTCACGCGCGCCGCTTGAGGGCGTGCACCACTTTCCAAAGGGTCCATTAGACGAGTTTCTAAACGCGATAAAGACAGCTGAAACGACGAAGGCCGAGTGAAGAAACAACCAAAACAGCTTTGTCCTGTTTGCTCTTTCACTCGGTCTTGGTCGTTTGAGCTTTTTTCATCGTGTAAAACGCATCCGGCCAAATTGGCGGTACAGCGCGCAATAAACGCAGAAAGTTAGGTCCAGCGCTAAACTATACTCCGCGACAACTTTTCTTGGCAATGCAGTGGAAGGTACAGGCCCGCGTCCCCTCTCCCATTTTGAGTGTGCGCGGGCTCTCCTCCTCTCCCCGGAAATGGGGGAGAGGAGGAGTCGCATTATATTTTTCTCCGAATACAGGCACACGGAGTCGGTTACTGCAATAAGAAATAAGGTGCGGCTTGCTTATTTAGGAAATAATTGAAGATTAAGCGAATTATTTACTATATCAAATGGTCCGACAGACACTGATTCTGTAATATACAACAACTCTCATCGTCGTGCTCCCAGAGTACGAGTAACACTAAAGAAATTGCTGTCTACCTGTACGGGAATGATTTCGTTAGATACTCTTTCTTTCGGACAACATATGAGTGGAACGCTCTGCCCCAGAAAGTTGTGAATTGCTGTATTTCACATTTATCTGAAATCCCGCTGACTGTCTCAGTTTCTCAGTTAATATTTGTGATGTATATTGTTCTTTGCTTAGTTCAATTGTTTGAACGCGACTCAATATATGTGATTTATTCTGTGGTTTTTTTTATCCTTCGAAGATCGCAAATTAGAGAGTATTTTAGATAAAGCTTTACTGTGCGACAGAGGCGTAATGCGGTCGGCACTCACTTTTTATCTGTACCAAGGATTGGCAAATAACAATCTCACACTCGTCATGAGTCAAGGTTCTTGAACATACACTCTGTCATTGGCCTATAGTGTCCATGATTCAAAAAAACCCACTGCCGTTTAAAAGCTTATTTGTAGACTTCGGCGCTTTTGGGATACATTCATTGTTTATTTACTAGAATGTGCTGACATAATAAAATTGCAGAAGTATTTGCTTTCAGCTATGATGGCTTCTGGACTTTCGGCGTTCATCTCCAAGATCCTGGAGGCTCAGTTTGGGCTGACGTCTTCGGCATCTGCGACGATATTGGGCAAGTAGAGGGTCTTTCCTGAAAGATCGTTTTCTAGTTCTGTTGATGTGGAGGGGTGTTTAAAAAGCAATTCGTTTCGGCTGCGTGAATGTTTTTTTTTTTGTTTTTTTTATACGTATTGTTTTGAACGTGTATCTATTGTGAACTCTCTACTTATTGAACACACTTGTGGCCCAAATAACGTTGTAAATTGACGTCCGGAGTGATTTCGATGACTTCAAAACCCACTCCTTGTCGGCCTTGGTTCTTGGCTGGTGTTGTGTCGGCGGGCGCTCATTTACTCAGTGCTGTGTGAAGCGTGTGAAAAAGAACACGTGTGCAGTCGACTGTCCTGGTTAAATTAGCTTTCGACGGTCGAGAAGCAAGTCGCATCACTGAGTTCATAAGTCAGAGCCGAATACTTTTTTCTTTTTTCACATTTCTCAAACTTCCCCGCACCCCTTCGGTAGACCCTGCAGAGACCTTGATGCCCCGCGGAAAGTTAGGTTGCATTCGGGATTTCACAAGCCATGGCGTCGACGTGAGGCAGATTATTTTTATAGTAATATGACTTTATTTTTACTTTCTTTTTTTTGTGTAGAATTGTGCTAACTGGGCGAGTTGGTATTAGGACGTAGTGAACAGAAGAGCGCACAAAAAGACGAGGAAAATTCGCCGATTGAGCAAAATGCGGACTAACGCCGCCTGACAAGGCCTGTTCTTACATCCGTACACAGCGCACACCGGAGAGGGAGGGAAAAAAGGCGAAACAAGTGGCATGAACATACAGGCTTTAATAACTACCATCAAAGAACATTGACGGACGAGTCAACACAATTAATACAATGTTCTGGTAAAATTGAGATAAAAAGGTGAGCAACAATTTACAGTCACACAACCCTCACTGTAACAGAATTTATTATTACAGAATATTATTCAACACAGACAGTAAAAAGCAAGGTTTACATTAATAGCCACAGGTTAACAATGGCCCGACTAGAAGCAATATTTAACTGGTTTTTAACCTACGAGTCGATTTAGTCTTCATACTATTTTTTTTCAGCCTCCACATACTTGTTTAAACACTTAGGTACCCGGTATGCTAAGCTTTATAGTTCATAGTGTGTACGCACCTTTGGGGCCCTAGTCTGTACACTTAATTGGTAAGAAAGTGTTGTGTATGAAGGTAGACGACAGCTTGAAGACTGAGTAGGCGTTTATCACTGCATGGTGCAACTTGACCACTACCAAGCGTGAGAAGAACTGCAAGGAGCGAGAGCGCTTGCTTTTCTAGAGGCTGCCCGGGACCACGTGAGCACACGCGACTTTTGATAAATTGTTATCGGCAGCGCCGCTATCTATAACATTTCCTCCCGCTTAAAACAGTGCTATGTCGGGGAATAGTGGTCCGGAGGTCTTCGGGTTCTTGTGGGGTATCTGGGAGCAGGAGGCGGCGAAACGGTGGCTGGTGCCGCTTGCGGACTTCCAGGAATCTCAGCAGGCGTTGCTAGAGGAAAGGATGCTCGAGGATTGCCGGTCACGTAAGGGGTGCCGCTGGCAGCCGGTGTAGAAGAGCACTCCCACGAGGTGTCCTCTGCCTGCTGCTCTTGGTTGAAGCTGGGAACACTGCGCAGCAGCTGATCTTGATGACGATGCCACACTGCGGGGCCACGTGACGTTTGCACCTTCAATGTGTAGGAAACGGGTCCCTTGTGCTGTACCACGACGCCCGGAACCCATCTTGGCTGTCCCCTGTAATTACAAACCATAACAGCATCGCCGACCGTGATAGAACGGGGCGTGGAGGGACGCTGGTAGCACTGCATGAATTGGCTATGCCCAACTCGCCCTTCTATCATCGGTTTAAGAATGTCTAGCCTAGATCGCAGGCGTCGACCGAACATCAGATTCTCCGGGGCCTCTTTTTTCGTGGCGTGGGGAGTGTTCCTGTACGTCAGTAGGAACTTGTCAAGAGTTTCGTCTAGGCTTTCTGTGCTCTTTCCTTTTCTTAATGCTTTCTTGAGCGATTGAAGAAAACGCTCGGCCAGCCCGTTTGAACTGGGGTGATAAGGCGCCGCTGTGACATGGCGTGCGCCCAGCTCTCGGATGAATGCTTTGAACTCGGCAGAGGTGAACTGTGACCCGTTGTCGGAGACAATGGTGTCCGGATATCCAAATCTCGCGAACATCTCACGGAGACAAATAATTGTGTTCTGGCTAGTTGTGCTTTTCATCACACAGACTTCTCGCCATTTAGTATGGGCGTCAACGACAACAAGGAACGTGCGCTGACGAAAAGGTCTGACAAAATCAACGTGCACATGTCTCTAAGGAGCAGTCGGTCAAGACCACGGATGCAAGGGAGCTCTGTTCAGAGCGTTGTGCTGCTCTTGACATTGCTTGCATTACTTTACGTGTGTCTCGAGATCACAGTCAATAGAAGGCCACCAAACATAGCTTCTGGCCAGTTCTTTCGTCCTCACCAGACCAGGATGTCCGTCGTGAAACTCTTGAAGAACCAGAGACCAGAGCTTTGGGGGTACGACAACACGCATGCCGCAGAGGAGACATCCCTGATGCAGTGTGAGCTGGGTCCGCCTGTTGAAAAATTGGCTTGAGTTTCGCATCCCGCACAAAGTTTGGCCACCCCGTGCTCGTCAACTCAATAACCTTGCAAAGAAGGGGATCTTGCGCGGTCGCCCGTGCGATGTCCTTGCTGGTTACAGGCATGGACTGCAGACATAAGGAATAGAACGTTTCATCAGCTTCGTCAGAGTCAACTACATGCAGTGGTAAGCGCGAAAAACAGTCTGCTTCTACGTTTTCACTTGTAGGTTTGAACTTCAAGGAATACGTGTATGCGGACAACGTCAAAGCCCAACGCTGAAGGCGTGCTGCTGCTATCGTCGGGATTCCAGTCTTTGGTCCCAGCATCGTCTGCAATGGCTTGTCATCTGTTATCAGTATAAACTTGCGGCCGTACACATAACAGTGAAATTTTTTTACACCAAAGATAAGCGCGAGCGCTTCTTTCTCCAGTTGACTGTACTTTTGCTCTGTCTCCGACAACGTTCTCGATGCGTAGGCGACAGGACGAACCGTTCCATTTGGGAAGATGTGCGAAAGTACGGCACCTACCCCGTACTGTGACGCGTCGCAGGCCAGCTGAAGGGGCATCTTCGGATCGTAGTGGGCCAGGACCTCCGTGGAAGCCAGGGCGTTCTTGATGTCGTCGAAGGCGTTCTGGCAGCTAGGCACGGGTCCACGACCAGGTCTGGTCCTCACGCAGGAGCCTGTACAGTGGGTGTGCCATCGTCGCTAGACGTTGGAGAAACTTGCTGTAGTAGTTGATAGCTCCGAGCAGTGAACGAAGCTGCTGTTTGTTGGCTGGTGCGGGCGCAGCTCTGATGGCGTCGGTCTTCTCCGTCGTGGTGTGGATGCCAGCTGCACTGAGCCTGTGGCCAAGGTAGGTGAGCTCTTACTGGAAAAAGGTACATTTTTCAGCCTTGACACGGACTCCTCGTTCAGCCAACCGCCTGAGCACTGCTTCTAAATTTTGGAGATGCTCAGTCCTTGACTTCCCAGTAACCAGGATATCATCCAGATAACAAGCGACGCCCTTAAGGTCGCTTAGCATAGTGTCCATGATACGTTGGAAAATTCCTGGGGCTGAAGAGACCCCGAAAGGGAGTCTGTTCATGGCAAACGAGCCTTTATGCGTGTTAATTGCAAGGACACGGCGCGCAGAATCAGCCAGCACAACTTGTTGGTAGGCCCTATTCAAGTAAATTTTTGAAAATTCTTGCCCCCCAGCAAGCGCAGCGAACATTTCTTCAACTCGCGGCAAAGGGTAACGGTCGGTGTCGAGCATGGAGTTTACAGTAGTAACAAGGCGAATGTTTCCATCTTTCTTCACAACCGGTATAACCGGTGTTGCAAATTCGCACGTCGTGATTGGGGTGATGACTCCCATAGCCTCCATTCCTTTCAGTTCTTTTTCAACCGCAGGGACAAGGGCAAATGGTACACTCCGTGCTTTTAGGAACCTCGGGCGAGCGTCTTCCTTCAGAAACACCTCGGCTTTCTCTCCCTTTATGCATCCAAGCTCTTCTTTAAAGAGGTTACTATACTTGCTCAAAAGTTTGCTTACCTCGGCTTTGGCTCCCTTGTCAGTCGTTCTGAGCGCCGAGGAAAGCTTGTTGCACATGAAGATAGTGTTCCAGTCCAAGCGCAAACGCTGAAGCCACTGTTGGCCCAGGAGCGGTGGCCCTCCCCGCTCGATAACATACAACGGCAGGACATGCATTTGCCCGTTGTGTTGGACTGTTACGTCCACAACACCTTTCGGTTCCACAAGTGCTCCACAAGTGCTCCAGTGTACTATCGGGGAAAAATGAAATGCGAACAGAGGAGCGCGTGGCTCGCGGTACAGGCTGCGCCGCCTGGAAGTGAGCCTAGGAGCGAGGGTGCGCGGCCTACTCCGATGTGTTCACGCCCCTCCCTCTGCGCTCTCCAAGCTTCAGCAGTGCGCCTCTTAGTGCGCTGAAAGCTTTCACCGCTATCTTTGCTGGCTCAGCGCGTGCGGTGCAAAGAAGCTCGCCGCACTCGCCGAGCAGGCAAAGATAGCGGTGACAGCTTTCAGCGCACTGAGAGGCGCACTCCCGAAGCAGGGGGAGCGCCAATCGAGGGGCGTGAACACATCGAAGTAGGCCACGCACCCTCGCCCCTAGGTTCACTTCCAGGCAGTCTTGTACACGTTACTAAAAAAAAGTAATCGATTACAATTACTATTACTCTTGGCTAAAAAGTATTCGATTAGATTACTTGATTACTCGACGGCAAAAGTAATTGGACATTACTTAAAGAAGTAATCGTTACTTTTCCGATTACTTTATTGTGTGAAGACACATCTTTAGCGCTCATTACAATTAACTACTTCCAACCTATATTTCACATTTGAAACAAGTATTGAATAAGAAAAACTGGCTCCCGCTTCGTGGTCGTTGCATCTACACAATGCGGACACAAG